AATACCCTACCACTTAGAATATGTCTGTGCAATAGACAGCTTGCCAGACACGTGTGATATGTCACATCTTATCTTCAAATAAGATTATCACCTAATAACCTTCCCTATTCCAAAGGGAGGCGAGAAAATTTACCCAAGAGCTCAGCCACAAAAGGTAACATTGCTGTGTAGATGGGATTACTTTGAGATGCAGCCGTAAAGCACACCTCTGGGTGAACATCGATGAAAAAAGAAGACAGCGCTGTACCTGTACGCGCACTTCCCATCAGCTGTTTTGGTTGTGATAGTAACGTGAGCCACGTGGCTTATGCTGGCCAAAGCCTAGGAAGAAAAGGAAATGGAATGAAAAAACTTCACTGCTGAGTCAACCCCGCCACATCATTAAGGGAAAGGTTATCGACACTGCCTCTTCCACTCTGCATCAACATGGCAACAATGCGCACCCTGTTCACTCATTTTGATAACACATTTTAAAAACAAAGACGGGTATCAAATTGAATCTGTAGCATAATTACTAACACCAGGGAAAATATATTAAAAGTCCAAAAGGAACCTGACCAGTTTGGCTCAGTGGATAGAGCGTCGGCCTGCGGACTGAAGGGTCCCAGGCTTGATTCTGGTCAAGGCCATGTACCTTGGTTGCGGGCACATCCCCAGTAAGGGGTGTGCAGGAGGCAGCTTATCGATGTTTCTCTCTCATTGATGCTTCTAACTCTCTATCCCTCTCCCTTCCTCTCTGTAAAAAAATCAATAAAATATATTTAAAAAAAAAAAAGAAATACATAATGTCATAGGGGTCCCTATAGATAAAATTTATGGTATATTAAGTATTTATAAACAAATCTCAGTTTTGGCAAATTGAATTTAAGTTTGTTTAGATTTACTTTTATCTAACAAGTAAATAGTATCATATCTTGTTTATCTACCAAGAAACATGCTGACAAATGGTAGAAATGTCATCACAGGCGGATAGTTCACACATTTATTGAACCCTTCGCTTACCTCACCGCGAAAGCCATAGGTAGAAATATTAGCTAAATCCTCAAAGGACTGAAGTTTACTTGTAGTGAACCTCTCACATACAATATCTAGATCTTCTTTCTAGAAAATACCAAAAAATAAGTAAATTATTATATTACTCATTTTTTTCAAAATCCTTTTGAATCTCCCTCTTCTTGAATGAATCCAAGAAGGTATTCCTCTGAGGAGAAGAGTTTCTAAATGAGCAGTAACTTGCTCACTTGGCACCCAGAACACCACACTGGCCTGGTGCTCCTTCCTCCTCATTGGTCTTATTTCTGTCTCATTTGCTGGGTTCTGTTACTCCCTGACAGTGGAGTAACCCAGGACACCACCCTTGGCCCTCTTCTCTACCTGCACACACTCTCTTGACAATCTTATCCTGTCTCACGGATCTTTATAAAGATTACCAGTTTTTATAAAACTTCTTTAGTAAAAATCTAGATGTATTTTACAGATACATTTAATTGTAGTAAAAAATTATAGACAAGAGGTTCTTATAAAACTCACTAAACCATGTTATCTCTTTGCTCAAAACCCTCTAATAGCATTCCCCCTTAGTCAGAGTAAAAGCTGAAGATTTCACAACCGCCCACAGGCCCACAGGCCCACATTCTGCTTATCTTTCAGATCTTATCTCCTGTTCCAGTCACACTGGCCTCCTTGCTGATCCTTAAATATGTCAGGCATGCTTCTATTTCCTGGTTTTTGCAGATATTGCTCTCTTTGCCCAGAACACTCATCCTTTAAATGGCCTCATGACTCACTCCTTTGACCTCCTTATTCCCCTATACAGGGCCCAGTAGAAAATAGGAACCCAATAAACAATTATTATTGCTGTTGAATTTTTCAGTCAAACAGTCCCATCCACTAAAGCCCAGTTCCTAGAACAGGGAAAGGTTCTGCCACTTCCTGCAGGTTATCTCACCCAGCACACAAACATCCTGCTCCTCTGAGTCTGTGATTCTACTTACCCTGATGCCGGTGCCATTGTCTTGGATCTGAATCAACTTCAGGCCTCCCTCTTTTACAACCACTTGAATACTTGTGCATTTGGCATCTAAACTGGCAAATCAAACAGAAAAAGAAATATCAATCTGTAACTACCTGAATGCACAAATTTTCCTATGAGCCACGAATAAAAAACAAACTCCAAATAAATATAAGACTGTCTGATCCATGTTTTTCCTTTGTTTTACAGGCTCTGTGACTACACTGTTATGTTTAGAGAAAGGGGAGAGGCAGAAAGGGCTAACCATCATCTCCAATAGGATATTCACCACCATTTCTGTTCCTCTAGGAAAGTGACGTTAGAAGTAGGTCCCTTCAGCACATGCCTTTTTCTTACTCTCTTCTCTACTAATTCAACCGTTACTCGAACTTGATTGAGCCTCGGGTTCCTAAACGACTTTATTAAAATGTCATTAAAAATTCTACATGTTTCTCTCCACTCTTCCCTTTTCTTTCAGAAAATATATATTGGGGGAAAGAAAATATGGCAATGCAGAAAGTTCTTTAAGAAGCTAATGAATATTTTGTGCCTTCAGAGAATAGCCTACAAGCACAGAGCACCTGCTAAAAAAAAAACAACAGACTCAGGCTGGTGCTGTGTGAGAAAGATAAGTTATGGATTCCTCACACAGAAATTCCTTATTTTAGAAATAAGACAATTCGTTACTTAAAGACCTTTCTCAGGAGCCCCTGAGTTGAAGTTGTTTAGCCATCTTGACTTACATATTAAAAGGAGCATAACTGTATGTTCATAGCAGCACAATTTACAATAGCTAAGATTTGGAAACAACCTACTAGTAAGTGCCCATCAGCAGATGAGTGGATTAAAAAACTGTGGTACATCTACACAATGGAACACTATGCCGATATAAAAAAGAAGAAACTGTTACCATTTGCAACAGCATGGATGGAACCAGAGAGCATTATGCTAAGCGAAATGAGCCAGTAGGAGAAAGATAAATATTACACGATCTCACTCATATGTGGGATATAATGATCAACATAATTTGATGAACAAGAATAGATTCAGAGACAAATGGCAGGGGAAGGGGGGTTAGAGAGCAACCAAACGACTTGTATGCATGCATATTAGCAGAACCAATGGACACAGACACTGAGGGGAGGAGGGTGCCTTGCCTGGGGTGGGGATGGCTGGGCTGGGGGGAGGAGGGGAAAAGGAGACATATGTAAAACTTTAGACCAGTCCTAATGCCGCGACCCTTTAATACAGTTCCTCATGTTGTGGTGACCCCCAACCATAAAATTATTTTCATTGCTACTTCATAACTGTAATTTTGCTACTGTAAACAATATGTAATTATATATGTGTTTTCCGATGGTCTTAGGCGACCCCTGTGAAAGGGTCGTTCGACCCCCAAAGGGGTCGCGACCCACAGGTTGAGAACCGCTGCTTTAGACGATTAAAAAAAAAAAAAAGAGCATAACTGGATCCATAAAAAGTCTCTGCTTATGGAATTAATGATAAGCTACTGAGCTAATGTTTAGTTTTGTTGTACAGGATTCTGTCTGGCACAGTACAAGAGGCCCAGCATGTTCAGTGTTCATTCTAACACTGCAGACACAAGCCAGCCTTTATGAATTAAAGTCAAAAGGAGAAGCCCGCCCTGGTTCCCTGTTCCTGCTATTGTCTGCCTCCTAATCCCTGTCGGACCCACCATTCTTTCAGTCCCGCTCTCCGGGGGAGTTTGTTTTCCCAACAAATCCCTTTAAACGTGCCCTTCTTCGCTGGGGCATTTTTTTCTTTTAAGGTATGGATTTCATTAATAACAATTGACTTTAACACAAAGTTCTTACGAAATGTTAGGAACATGTCTTTTTTGAGGTTTACAGTTTACACCATCTTTCCTTCCATGTTTTTAACCTTTTCCCTCCACATTGTGTGGCATTTCCAAACTTCAGAATCCACGGAATACGCCATAAAAGGGCAGGAAAGCACCAAGTGGGATCACTAATTTGGCAACAGGAAAATCACAAGTTAAACCCAGAGAAAGGTCATCAGCCTGTCCTAAAATCTTGACTATTTATAATAAAACTCAAAATTTGTACTCTTGAATGTGCATGATTTTTTGGAATAAGCATATAACTGATAAGATGAAGGATGAAAGGAGATGTTGGCGGGGGGGAAGAAGACATATGTAATGCTCTTTGTAATACTTTAAGCAATAAAAAAATAAAAATAAATAAATCCTAAAAAAAAAAAAGAGAGATGTTTCTCCCCCACCGAAAACTTGCATCTTTTGCGACTATAACTTGAGAGGCAATTCCTTTAGTTAATGGCACCATTAAAACGATACGGCGTAGCCCGCGGCGCGCGCCCCCCGTAAGCCTAGAAAAGTCTCGCGACAGCGCGCGGGAAGCGAGAAGGCAGGACCCCCAAAGCCTCCGCCACGGTGGGCATGCGCTGTACACGCCTCCGCCGAGGGCAGGGAGGCGTGTCCGCGCCATCCCTGCGCGGCCCGTTAGGTCGTAGCTTCTAAGGAGGCCCGGCTCGACTTCCTCCGTACCAGTTCTCGATCATCTCCTTGATGGCATTAGCCGGCCGCTGGATAACTTCCCCTGCCGCGATGCGGTTCACCACAGTCTCGTCCAGCCGCCGAATTACGCCCGCTACAAGCGACATTTTGGCGCCAGAGGAGTCCAGGTCACGTCGAGATGCTCACTGGACGTGCCGTCAGCCAATCACTACAGTGCTTCGTGCTTACGCTATTCCCTTAACTCTGTGTACGCGGCGCGGCCCCCCTCCCCCACCCTTTCCTGCGGCAGCGCCGTTTCCGAGCGAGGGAGCTATTGATTGGGCAGTTTGAACGTCAGTCAAGTTCCTTAGGTCCGAGGGTTCCTGGGCCTCTTCGTCCCGCCCTAAAGCAGCTTCCGCCCAGCAGCTAGAAGGATTTGCGCTTGCGCGACAGAAATCACTGTCCGCTCTTTCGGCCAATCGGAACGCAGATGCCCTAGCGGGAGCTCGGTATCGCGCGGCTCGGGTGATCTTGCGCAGAGCGTAGGTGGCGTTTGGCGCTTGCTCCTACTCCGCCTGTCTCTTTGCAGCCTCCGGGAGATCTGCTCCGCTCTTCTAACCTCCGGCATCATGTGGATGACACCTAAGAGAAGCAAAATGGATGTGGAGGAGGCTCGGGGGTTCCGGCCCGAGTGGACCCAGCGTTATTTGGTGGTGGAGCCGCCGGAGGGCGAAGGGGCCCGCTGCCTGGTCTGCGCCCACCTCGTCGTATCCGCTAGCGAACGCGACGTCAGGCGCCACTACGAGGCCGAGCACAGGTACTACCAGCGGTATGTGGAGGAGGGCGAGCGGGAGGCCCTGGTGGAGCGCCTGCGGCAGGGCGACATTCCCGAGGTGGTCCCGCCCACTCCCGAGGAGAGAGCGGCGCGGGCAGGCCTCGGCATCGCCCGCCTCTTGGCCCTGCGGGGTCGCGGCGGGGGTGAGGGGGACTTTGTGTACCAGTGCCTGGAGGTGATGCTGAATGATGTGCTGCCGGACCACGTAGGCGTCTTGGGTGGCATTGATTTATCCCCCGAGACCATCCGGCAGAGGGTCCTGAACATTAACGAGAACCTCCGCAGCCAGCTTTTTAACCGGGCCAAGGACTTTCGAGCCTATTCCCTGGCCTTGGATGACCAGGCCTTTGTGGCCTATGAGAACTACCTCCTGGTTTTTGTCCGCGGCGTGGACGTGGACTTGGAGGTGCAGGAAGAGCTGCTGACCATTATCAACCTGACTAATCACTTCAGTGTTGGTGCTCTCATGGCGGCAATCCTCGAGGCCCTGCAGACGGCCGGGCTTAGCCTGCAGCGAATGGTGGGACTAACCACCACCCACACCCTGCGGATGATTGGTGAGAACTCTGGACTGGTGTCGTACATGCGAGAAAAGGCTGTAAGCCCCAACTGTTGGAATGTCATCCATTACTCGGGATTCCTTCACTTGGAGCTGTTGAGCTCCTACGACGTTGATGTTAATCAGGTCATAAGTACCGTATCTGACTGGATACTGCTGATTAAGACAAGAGGCATCCGGCGACCCGAATTCCAGGCTTTACTAACTTCATCGGAGTCAGAGCATGGCGAAAGGGTTAATGGACGGTGTCTGAACAATTGGCTGAGAAGAGGGAAGACTTTAAAGCTAATATTTTCATTAAGGAGAGAGATCGAAGCGTTCTTGGCTTCGGTGGGGGCAACAACAGCCCATTTCTCAGACCCAGAGTGGCTTTGTGATTTTGGCTTCTTGGTGGATATTATGAACCACCTCCGAGACCTCAGTGAACTACTGCGATTCAATAGAGTCTTTGCTGCTACTGCATTTGACCATATTTCTAGCTTTGATGCTAAGCTGAATTTACTGCACAGACATATTGAGGAAAAAAATCTAACACACTTTGCTGCCTTGAGAGAAGTCGTTGATGAGCTTAAACAGCATATTAAAGAAGAAGACAAAATTCTTGATCCGGGTAGGTATAAAGTGGTGATCTGTCGCCTGCAAAAAGAATTTGATAGACATTTCAAGGACCTCAAGTTCATTAAAAAGGACTTAGAACTCTTTGCAAATCCATTTAACTTTAAAGCTGAACATGCACCTATTGCAGTAAGGATGGAGCTAACAAAACTTCAAGCAAATTCTGACCTTTGGGAGGAATACAGAAACAAAGACCTGGGACAGTTCTATGCTGGATTGTCTGCTGAAACTTACCCGATTATCAAAGGGGTTGCCTATAAGGTGGCATCCTTGTTTGATAGCAGTGAAATCTGCGAAAAGGCTTTTTCATATTTGGTTAGAAACCAGCACACCTTGAGCCAGCCGTTAACAGATGAGCATCTCCACGCCCTGTTTAGGATCGCCACAACTGAAATGGAGCCACATTGGGATGCTCTTGTCAGAGCAAGAAATCCTCCTAATCCATAAGCTTTTGAAACAAACACTCAACGAGAATCCAGTCCTAAAAGCAAACATTTGACTTTTCAAGTTTACTCATTTGGAGCGTGAGAATGCACCAAGTTTATTCATTCAAACTGATAACAATTGAGATTCTTCTGACTTTTTTTTTTCTCCTCATCTCAAGAGGCAGCATGGGACTGGAACATGAAACACCTCTTTTCAAACTTAGTGTCAAAGTCGTTGTTGTCTTTTGCTTTTATGACATAATTGTTTTTAAAGAAGTTTAGTACTGATGATGTGAATTGAATTAGGAGTCTGTTTTTAAGGTGTTTTGGAGAAATTTTAGGTCATATTTTTAAAAAAATGTTAAAAATCTGATACATATAGTCTAAAATTATCATCTCCTTAATTGTATGTTTGAGCCTGTTTGCAGAAATTCACATAGCAAGTTCAGAAGTTCCTGAAAAGGAAGAACATATGTTCAGTGGAGGAACTTGTCTGTCAAAATGTTTGAAACTTTTAAAAAACATTTGTGAGTCTGGAGTAAATATTGGCAGATTTCCTCCCTCTGACCTCTTCCCTATCCACCGCAGTGATAATGATATTCCTAATAGAGGAAATAATCAAAATTTTAGGAGCAGGAATTATGTTTTTTATTTTTTTATATATTTTATTGATTTTTTACAGAGAGGAAGGGAGAGGGATAGAGAGTTAGAAACATCGATGAGAGAGAAACATCGATCAGCTGCCTCCTGCACACTCCCCACTGGGGATGTGCCCGCAACCAAGGTACATGCCCTTAACTGGAATCGAACCTGGGACCCTTCAGTCCTCAGGCCGAGGCTCTATCTACTGAGCCAAACCGGTTAGGGCAGGAATTATTTTTAAATTGCTGATTAGAAGGCTTCCTGCAATTTGGAGGTCAGACTAACCAATTATTGGAGGTTTACCCTGAATTTTTCACAATTGGGTGCTGTTTTACTAGTTCACCTATTAAAGGACTATGGTAAGTATAGAATCTTAATGATTGCCCATTAGTAATGCTTTTTTTCTATTGTAGACAAATGTTTGGCCCTGGCAAGAAGGATGAAGCAAAATATTTTTGCACTCCAGGATCAGGAGGTGTGAGATACTTTAGCTTCTTTGTCTTATCTGCGTGGGTGTTACTGCTTTATAAAGAAATCCTGCTTAAAGGGAACTTTTTACTTTATAGTGATAGACCAGATTTTGTTAGCTGATAGAAGTGCATTTATTAGAGATTTTGAAGCTGCCCCACATTCTGTATTTAAGACAGTGCACAAGTAGAAGTATTTAACTCAAGAAGCAGCTTTATTCAGATTTTAGGAATTTCATATTTCTAGCGAGCCATCGGCTTTGTGCTAAAACAGTAATTTTCAAACTTATGTTAACCATGAAAAGGAAATCGTACAGTAAAGCCAAATATGTAAAATGACTTCCAAACAGGACCCGGTTTATAGATCCTCAAGTACAATTTGAAAACGTGTGCTAAAGTCCTGTCTTAACTATTGTTACACATTATTCTATGGTCATTAGTCCAGCAAATTCAAGGAACCAGGATACAACTAGGAATTGAGAAGGAACTGATGCCTCAGCAATCAAAATAGTGCCAAAAGAACCAACTTGTGTCAGTGGTTCTCAATCAGAGGCAGTAAACCCTCTTTCCAGAGGATGTTGGGACATACAGGGGATTTTTTTGGTTGTCCTAGTTGGTGGGGGGTTCTGATGGCATTTAAGTGCATAGGTCAACCTGGCACAGGAATTATCATTCCTCTCAAAGTGCCAGTAGGACCCCCCAGTGTAGATTATTTTATTTTGAGGGACAGGGAAAATTACTGGTAGAAGCAAAATTAGAAGAACAAGTTGGGCAAACTTGATAGGGGAGACTATTCCAACATTCTGAGTTTGGCTGGTAAGGTAAAAGCCTCAACATGTTCTGGTAGCTCACAATAGCATTTATAAATCTGTAATCAATACTGAACCAGATTAAAGGACTCTATCTGTTATATATAATTCATTGAGGGCAGAAAAGCAAGTTTTATAACAAGATACTTGTCAAGAATGGTCAAGTTGAGATTTTGGTAAACCGAGTAGGCTTAAAACAACAATGAAAATCCAACCAAACAAACAAATCTACCAGTAATTTCCCAATAGTTTGGAGTATTCTCTTTCGTGGCAAGTGCTTTATTGAAAGAATGACTAGAATACCTGAAAGCTGCTGCTGCTTTCTAACCCTGGTTCCTCAAATATTGAAGTCTTGTACATTTTGTGAAGTTCTAGTATATATTTTGCTTACAGTAATAATAAAATTAGTTCGCATCATATAGTCATTGAGTGGGTGGGGAGGGGAGATATAAGTAAAGGATTTTAAATTGACCATGAGTAATAGAGAATTTGCTATAAACTAGTTTTGTTTGTAGAAGAAAAATGTGTATTTTACTGTTTTCTGCGTTAAGTAATTCTGTAAGTGCATGGCAGGTTTTTTTTTAATATTTTTTAAAAAGTAGTTGTTACTGGTCTGTTGTGTCAGTGAATACAGTTAAAGTACTTTTTTTTAAAAAAAAACTTATGTCTCTATATTTCCCATTCCTACTAGTTTTCTTTAAAGATTTGTCTGTATTCCTGTTGTCCCACATTGTCACTCAAACTGCACAATCAAGCTCACAAAGTTTTTGTGAATATTCTTACCCTCTGATACCACCACCGACCACTGTCCTTGAAGTAGATGTTTACTTGGCTTCGGGGAGATACCGTCTCCAGGTATGCATGCTCAATCGTCTTTGCAGGTACCTCTTTCCCTTAAATATCTGTGTTCTTGGGATAGTTAAGTTTTCTTATTCTACATCATCTTAACTGATCCCATTTCCTTCCATGGTTTCAGGTATCACCTATATGCAAATGACTCCCAAATTTATATCTTCTCTCTAAGCCTTTCCTAACTCATATATCTAATTTGCCAACTTAAGTCCATTTTGCTGTCTCAGGCAGCACAGTAAGTATGTCATTGATCTTGCCCCTAAACCTGCTTCTGTCATGTTTCCCCTTTTGGTAAATGGTACCACCACTACTACCCATTCAGTTGCCCTTGCCTAAGCCAAAACCTGAGTTATCCATGACTTTCCCTCTTCATACATCATAACATTCACAAAAACCTTTCTGTTAAGTCCACCGTCTACATTTTTCTTAATTCTCCAGTGCTACTCTTTGAATTCAGGCCATCAACCTACCTAAATGGTAGTGATAGCCTCCTCATTAGTCTCCCTTTCTCTGGTTTTGATCCTTTTCCGCACTGCAGCCAGATTGTTCCAAAAGGCATATCTGGTCATATCACTCCACTGCCTTCACCATTGCTGTTAGGATAAGATAAACTTCTGTTCATCTTTCAGGTCTCACTTTATATACCACTTCCTCTAGGAAGCCTTCATTGATGCCCACTAGACTATGTGCCCCTTCTACGCCCTCCCTAAGTACCTTTTTTTCCCCCAACCATACACTTAACACACTTAATTGTTACTTACTTAACACTTAATTGTTACTTGTTATTAATCATTGCTATACTGTAAGCTTTATAAGGGCAGGGACCTCATGCCTTGCTCAGTGTTATATTTGTAGTGATTAGCACAATGCCTGGCGTTTCAATAAATGTTTGAATGAATAAATGTTTGTGTAGTGTTTTACAATCTTGGAAGCCCTTTCACAGTCTCATTTGACCTTCACTGTGGTCCTCTCTTAGACTGCTCACTGGATAATTGTTATCCACATATTACAAATTAAGAAATGAAACGAAGTTCTTTGTGGCTAAAAATCACATTGTATTCCCAGAATGTAGCTCAGTGCTTGGCATGTGGCTCAAATATTTATTACATGAATGTTGTTGGGGGAATATTTAGATTGCCCTAGTAAACATAAGTAATAAAGCCAGGATTCAAATCCAGGTATGCTTACATAAGTCCACTATGTAATAAGTCATTACCTTCTTGATATAGAAGTCTCAATATATATTCTTTTAATTTCTAAAGGAACCTGGATGAAAAATACTGGACAACTATGTAGTGGACTAAAACAATAGTTAAGTAATTAAAAAGTTACATCTAGTATCATAAAAAGATAATTCTGCTTAACACTTGGAGTGCGGGAAACGAGTTAAGTCGGCTCGCGTGAATTGCGCGTACTCCGCGGGAGCCGTCTTTAACTCGGTTCATATAGATTTGCGGTGGAGTGCGGGAAACGTGTACACTCGGGCCAATTGTAACTGCGTATTACCAAATATTTGTTTTAATCCACCCTTTTGGTGGATGGAACAAAACCAAAAGACAGAGCCATCTTATATTTTGGCGGAAAAGATAATTCTGCTTAAGAATTAATATCGCCCTAGCGGGTTTGGCTCAGTGGATGGAGCGTTGGCCTGCGGACCCAAGGGTCCTGGATTCGATTCTGGTCAAGGACACGCACTTCGGTTGCAGGCTCCATGCAGGAGGCAATCAATGGATGTGTTTGTCTCACATCGATATTTCTTGCTATCTTTCCCTCTCTCTTCCACTTTCCCTAAAAATCAATGGAAAAATATCCACGGGTGAGGATTTAATTTTTTTAAAAAAAGTTAATGTCCATTTTCCTGTTGTAAGCATCAACCCTAGGAGGAAATAGCATACTATTTATTTGCTATTTTTCTTTACAAACAATTTCTGGCTCTTGGATTTAAAAGTAAGTAAATTTAACAAAATATTAGAGAAGTGACTCAGTCAGCCCTCCTGGTGACTAAATATTTAGTTCACTTGCTTTTCTAGCTACAGATTGTCCTGGACTCCTCCTCAGTGAAGCTAACTCAAAAGTGACATCTAGCCAACAGATGATGGGAGAGCCATACCCTTAGAATCTTCTTGAGCCATTTTGTCCAACTTAAGGGATTAACTAGTGTTAAACTTTTAATTGGATTTTAATCTGAGGCACATTACTCTTTCAGAGATCTCAACAGTAGGTATGATAATCAGTGATTTCACCCTTGCTGCAAAACTGCATTTTAAGCAGCCTTTGGATTAAAGCATTTCTCATTTTTTTAAAATAAATTTTTACTGATTTCAGAGAGGAAGAGAGGGAGAGAGATAGAAACATCATTGATGAGAGAGAATCATGGATCAGCCGCCTCCTGCACGCCCCCTAGTGGGGATCAAGCCTGCGACCCAGACATGTGCCCTTACTCAGAATGGAACCCGGGACCCTTCAGTCTGCAGGCAGACTATCCACTGAGCCAAACCGGCCAGGGCTCATTTTTATCTTTTTGTAATTGAGAAGTGGCCTCATCCTAACTCAATAGGTAATTGAATTTGTGAATGTCTATTTCCTTGTATTTCTGCTTGGAAACTCTTTTTTCAGTTTATCTCTTTCCTGTCCATTTTGTCCAATGCATCCAATAGCAAGTATAACATATTTGTTTTCTTTAGTAAAGAGTACATTATTGGCCTTCCAGCTTCTCTCAAGGGGCAATTTCTCCTGGCCATAACAGGAATTGCCCTTGCATAAGTTACTTCTTCCGTCTTCCAATAGCAGTGTCCTGACTATCTACCAGCCAAGCCATTGTTTAGTATTTTATGTGTTATTGTCTTTTTTAACAACTAGTTTCTGTATAAGGATGAGGTAGTTTGCCATAAAAACCACAAAAATCTCAGTACCTCACAGCTTTTCTTTCACTTGGGCAGGGACTTTGCCTTAGGTCAGGGGTTTACCAGGTTAACAGGTAAAATGTGTTTTGTGCTTGTTTCTATATATAGTTTTATTAGAAGACAGCCTTGCCCATTTACTTGTATATTATCCATGGTCACTTTTGTTCTACAAATGTCAGGGTTGAGTAATTGTGATAGAGTGGCCCACAAAGTCTAAATAAGTACCATGTGACCCTTCACAGACAACATTAACTGATCCCTGCTCTTCAGTTGTCCTCATTGTGAGACTCAGGCCCACCAAGAAGATACCATCTAGGGTGTGGTTGCTCATTTGGGGGAAATGAAAAGAGTATGGCAATTCACTCAGGTCCTTAAAGCACTTTCATTGGCTAAAGTAAATCACATGACCACACCAAAGTTCAGGGAGTATCATCTTCCCATATGCCTGGAAGGAAAAACAAAATTATTTGGAAGACAATACTATTGATTAACACATGATTATATCTCTCCATTTATATAATTTCTTTCAAAATACATATTTTTATATTCTCACCCGAGAATATGTTTAGAGAGAGGAAGAGAGAAAGGGAAAAAAAACATCAATGTGAGAAAAACACCCATCAGTTGCTTTCTGTATGCACCCCGACTGGGGATCAAACCCAGAACCTAGGTACGTGTCCTGACTGGAAATCGAACCTGCAGCCTTTTGGTGTAGGGAATAATGCTCCAACCAGCTGAACCATTTTTTTATATATGTGTAAAGGATCCTATATTTTTTCTGTGAACTGTCTACTCAAATCTTTCACCCATTTTTCTATTGGGCTGTTGACCTTTTAAAATTTTTAGGAACTCCTTATATAGTAGGGATAGTAGTCCTTTGTGATATAAATTATAAATATTTACCCAGTGTGTTATTTTTTTCTGACTTTATTTATATGGGTTTTTCCCCCCATGAGAAAGTCGGCTTTTCTTATGCACCCTTAGCTGGATTGACTTATGAAAAAAAGAGAAGACATAAATGACTATAATCAAGGGCCTTTATGATTAAGGTAGAGGAATATTGCCTCCTGGAGTGTAAAAGGAGGTGATTCAAGAGCATATACTCTGGATTAATTGGTTTGCATATGAAAGGCACACTCAAAGGGGAGTAGGAATTAAGTAGCAATATCCAGGAATTAGCCAGCCCTAGGTCGCTCAGTCTCTCTTGGGTCAGCAAGGTCCCAGATGCCAAATCATCAAGAATATAGAAAATATGCTTAATACAAGAGGTACCTTCCATTCCTGGCAGGGAAACGGTGAGTACCAGCTCAAGGATAGCTGGCTTATGCTTGCAGTTGTTTAGAGGACTCATCTCAGGAGTTTCCTATTTGAAGGAACACTGCTCTTTCTTCCAGCGTGGGCATGTCCATCAAGAGTGATGGAGAATTCACTTCTGGCGTTTGTGTTTGGCTTTTGTTCCTCACGTTCTCAGGTAAGTGGGAAGGGTTCCTTTATGGCCCATTAATTGTGGCCTTTCTCTGCTGCTCCTTTACCAAGTAAGTTTGACTGTTATCCCTTGTCTTAAACACAGGCATGAAGAGCACCCGTTTGACTGTTATCCCTTGTCTTAAACACAGGCAGAAAGAGCACCAGTTACCCACCTTTAGTTGGTAGTTTCAAATATATCTTTGTTTGCTCCTGCTCTCATAGCCGTATAGAAGTATGTCCTTCTCTATGTACTATCCAATGTCAATAATTTTTAAAGCTTGAGGGTGTGTACATGGAGATATCTCTTGTCTTTTGTGTATGTTTAAAACTTCCATAACAAAAATGAATCAAGTCAAGTTTATACTCATTAGGATGGCTACTAAGAAAACAAAAACAGCCCTAGCTGGTTTGGCTTAGTGGATAGAGCGTTGCCCTGGGGACTGAAGGGTCCCAGGTTTGAGTCCGGTCAAGGGCACACCCCCGATTGTGGGCTCAATCCCCAGTGGGGGGCGTGCGGGAGGCAGTCAATCAGTCTCTCTCATCATTGATGTTTCTATCTCTCCCTCTTCCTCTCTGAAATTAATAAAAATATATTAAAACACATAAAAAACAAGTGTCAGCAAGGATGTGGAGATACTGGAGCCCTTGTGTGTTTTTGGTGGGACTATAAAATTGTGCAACCACTGTAGAAAACAGTATGGCAGTTCCTCAAAAAATTAAAAATAGAATTATCGTATGATCTAGGATTTCCACTTCTGAGAAGGGGGGTTCAAAGAGGTATTTTTATACTCAATTGCATAGCAGCATTCACAATAGCCAAAAGATGGGAGCAGTGGATGAATAAATAAACAAAACGTGTTATATACATACAATGGAATATTGCTCAGCTTTACAAAGGAAGAAAATTCTGACATAGGCTCCATCACGGATGAACCTTGAGGACAGTATGCTAAGTGAAATAAACCAGTCACAAAAAGACAAGTACTGTTTGATCCCATTACATTGTCAAGCTTGACAAATTCATAGAGCCCAGCTGGTGTGGCTCAGTGATTTAGCATTGACCTACGAACCAGGAGGTCACAGTTTGATTCCTGGTCAGGGCACATGCCCAGGTTCGATCCCTAGTAGGGGGTGTGCAGGAGGCAGCTGATCAATGATTCTCATCATTAATCTATCTGTTTCTCCCTCTTCCTCTCTGAAGTCAATAAAAATATATTTTTTAAAAAGCTCCTAGACAGAAAGTAGAAAGGTTGTTGCCAGAGGCTGGGGGTTATTTAATGGTTACAGTTTCAGTTTTGCAACATGAAAACAATTCTAAAAATGGATAGTGGTGATTTTTGCTCATCAACTATACACTTAAAAATTATTAAGATGGTAAATTTTGTGTTATGTGTATTTTACTACAGTTTTTAAAGAGAATCAAGTTTCACTGCCCTATAAAGTTAAACATAAGCCTACCCCATGACTCAGCAATTTCACTCCTAGGTATTTATTCAAGATATGAAAATGTGACAAAAAAAACCTAATTGTGC